GGGGGGGGCAGAGATGGGACCGAAGTGAGGATTACAAACCTGCGGGTGGGCTTTGCCTGAGGGATGTCGAGCTCTTATCAGACTCCAGACCAGACCTCTCCCGCCCCCGGGCTGTACAGCCCCCTCTAAGGGAGACTCATTTTTAGCCCGAAGGGAAACCTCTCTCCTTGCTGTGGGTCCCCCTGCCAGTGACCCTTCCAAGGGGGCCAAATAGGGCCTTTTTTCTGCTCAGCAGGAAGTGCTCTCTTCATTCTCTTCACCTCTGGACTATAAGAGCCCTTTCTACCTCTGAGGGGCAAAGATGAGCTTCTCACAAAGAAGAGATCTTCCCAAAATAAGTGTCCTTCTCCGAGATAAGGAAGGCCGTAAGAGAGGACAGGGTTTATTACTGAAATCAACCTTATGAGTTAGTGATATTCTAACAGAAAGACTTGCAGTCTCTCTTTGAAGAAGGCCTGTCTTTCTGAAGGAGAAAAATCACCTTCTCTGACCTAGAAATTCTGTCTCTATCCCTCCAGGGACTCCATGAGGGGAGACTAAGGTGGGATGTAGGGAATGTTGGATGTACATCCCTCCTTTAGAATATGTTTCTAGGTGACAGTACAGGAACGGGAATTCCTTTTTTCCACCAAGGAGGGTGAAGTGACTAGTTGTGAGGGTGCCTCTGTTTGGAAAGAGGAACGGTGCCTCCTCTGATTAGGGACTATTTCCCTGGGAGGAGAAGGCCTTTCTTGGTGTGCTGCTATTCTCTGTCTCATAGGGGGCCTGTGTCCCTGGAGACCTGGCTGCTTTTAAGATTTATTCTCTTGGGACTTCCCTGGTGATCCAGAGGTTAAGACTTTGCCTTCCAGTGTATGGGGTGCAGGTTCGATCCCTGGTCCAGGAGCTAAGATCCCACATGCCTCCTGGCCAAAAAACCAAAACAGAAAACAGAAGCAATATTGTAACAAGTTCAATAAAGACTTTTTTTAAAACAATCTAAAAAAAAAGATTTATTCTCTCCGTTTTTCTGTAACTGATTAATGGAGAATAATCTTTCAAAAAGTGAGGCTCACTTAAGTACTCATCTATATTTCTCTCCCTCTCTTTTTCACCCATGCAAACTCCCTTTCTCTTTCTCTCTCTCTCTCTCTTTTTTTTTTTTTTTTTTGGCTGCACCATGCGGCATGCAGGGTCTTAGTTCCCTGACCAGGGATCGAACCCGTGGCCCCTGCATTGGGAGCATGGAGTCTTAACCACTGGACCACCAGGGAAGTCCCGTAAACCCCCTTTCTCTTAGAGGAACAGAACTGTGCACCTGAGGGCCAGGTTCTCCCTTACTTGGGAATGTTGGGGCCAGAGAGAGAATGATACCTTTTTCCCCTAGGGGGGAAGAATCATCTACTTTTTGAGTTTGGGGGACTGGTTCCCTCTCACCTAGGGGGAAATTTGGATCTGAGGCATCAGTAGCTTCGGGAAAAGGAAAGTGTCTGTGGAGGTTACAGCCTGGGAGGGCATGTTCCCTGGAGACTTTCAGACCATAGGGCCTTTGCCCTTGGGAATCTTTCCCTAAACTCCCAGAATGTGAGGCTCTCTCCTGTCTGCATTTCTCATCTCTCATGAAAAAGACCCCTTTGTGGTGGAAGCGCCAGCTCCCTGGTGGTGTGCTGGCACAGAGCTGGGCCCAGCTGGGCAGGAAGCAAGAGGGGAAGACAAGGAGAGATAAAGAGAGGGAGCATAAGGAAGCTGATGTCTGGGACCCAAGGGGTTAATTCTTCCTGGCGTTTCCTTAACCCCCAAGTTACCAACCATCACCCAGAACAAGGAAGCAAGAAGCAGGCAGGGGATCAGTCAGGAAAGGAGCCCAACAACCCCTCCCCTGGTCCTAACCCATCATTCCAGCCGAAAGGGTTACTCGTCCTTTGCAGTCCATTCAACCCAGAGGGCAGCCTCAGTAACAAAGGAATGAGGAGGTGTTCGATCTGTCCCTCAGGGACAAGCAAGGGAGGCTTAAGCTGTGAGAGACACGACAGATCTGACCTGGTGCTGCTTACTTTCTATAGGGCTTTTCCAGAGGGCCATCATCCAAAGTGGTTCTGCTCTGTCCAGCTGGGCTGTGAACTACCAACCAGTGAAGTACACCAGCCTGCTGGCAGACAAGGTAGGCTGTAACGTGCTAGACACCGTCGACATGGTGGACTGTCTTCGGCAAAAGAGTGCCAAGGAGCTGGTAGAGCAGGACATCCAGCCTGCCCGCTACCATGTGGCCTTTGGCCCCGTGATTGACGGTGATGTCATTCCTGATGACCCGGAGATTCTCATGGAACAGGGCGAGTTCCTCAACTATGACATCATGCTAGGTGTCAACCAGGGTGAGGGGCTCAAGTTTGTGGAAGGGGTGGTGGACCCTGAAGATGGTGTCTCTGGCACTGACTTTGACTACTCAGTCTCCAACTTTGTGGACAATCTGTATGGCTATCCTGAGGGTAAGGACACCCTGCGGGAGACCATCAAGTTCATGTACACAGACTGGGCAGACCGTGACAATCCTGAGACCCGCCGTAAAACACTGGTGGCACTCTTCACTGACCACCAGTGGGTGGAGCCCTCAGTGGTGACAGCTGATCTGCACGCCCGCTACGGCTCGCCTACCTACTTCTACGCCTTCTACCATCACTGCCAGAGCCTCATGAAGCCTGCTTGGTCAGACGCAGCTCATGGGGATGAAGTACCCTACGTTTTCGGTGTCCCTATGGTAGGCCCCACTGACCTTTTCCCCTGCAACTTCTCCAAGAATGACGTTATGCTCAGTGCTGTCGTCATGACCTACTGGACCAACTTTGCCAAGACCGGGTAAGGAGAAACTGGGGGTTCTTCTTTGGGACCCCAGCATGCCCTCCCCTCTGCTCCTCTATCCAAACCTCTTCCATCATCTCCTTTCCTAAGACAGTCCCCAAATCTTGATTGGTAACCCCTTCATCCCTCTTCCTACGTCCCCCTTTCTAGTCTTTCATGCCATTTCCTTCCCTTAAAAATTTTGTTGGGCTTCCCTGGTGGCGCAGCGGTTGAGAGTCCGCCTGCCGATGCAGGGGACGCGGGTTCGTGCCCCGGTCCGGGAAGATCCCACATGCCGCGGAGCGGCTGGGCCCGTGAGCCATGGCCGCTGAGCCTGCGCATCCGGAGCCTGTGCTCCGCAACGGGAGAGGCCACAACAGTGAGAGGCCCATATACTGCAAAAAAAAAAAAAAAGTAAAAAAATTTTGTTGAGGCTCAGAACTCAGCATTAGGATTGAGCAGGAGTGAGAGTTACTGGCAGAACTATGGGATTGAAGGTTAGATGGTCGGAGGCCATGTGAAGTGGGAATAAAGTACATTCAGAAAGAGCTTTTAAAGGGCTCTCAGAAAAATTGGGCAGCTGAAAAGATTGATGGGTGCTCTGTAGCTTGTGAGAAGAAGAAGCGTCCTATAGGTTGATCTCACAGGATGGGCGTAGGGAAGGATGAAATGGTTTCCATGATGTCACGGGCAATAGGAGTTCAAGGCCTGGGGAAAAACAGGGGTATGGACAGAGGGAAGGACCCTGAAAAAGATGGAAATGGTGGGACATTTTGGACTGGGAAAGGGGTTTAGGGCTGGGTGTGAGAGGAAGAATCCTGGACCCTTTCCTTGTCTAGGTAGAGTGGTGACCCCAGATTTCCATGTGGTATTTCAGGGATCCCAACAAGCCGGTCCCCCAGGACACCAAGTTCATTCACACCAAGGCCAACCGCTTTGAGGAAGTGGCCTGGTCCAAATACAATCCCCGAGACCAGCTCTACCTTCACATCGGCCTGAAGCCAAGGGTCCGCGATCATTACCGTGCCACTAAGGTGGCCTTTTGGAAACACCTGGTGCCCCACCTATACAACCTGCATGACATGTTCCACTACACGTCCACAACCACCAAAGTGCCACCCCCGGATACCACCCACAGCTCCCACATCACCCGCAGGCCCAATGGCAAGACCTGGAGCACCAAACGACCAGCCATCTCACCTGCCTACAGCAATGAGAATGCCCAAGGGTCCTGGAACGGGGACCAGGATGCAGGGCCGCTCCTGGTGGAGAACCCTCGTGACTACTCCACTGAATTAAGCGTCACCATCGCCGTGGGGGCCTCCCTCCTCTTCCTTAATGTCCTGGCCTTCGCTGCCCTCTACTATCGGAAGGACAAGCGGCGTCAGGAGCCCCTGCGGCAGCCCAGCCCTCAGAGGGGAGCCGGGGCTCCTGAATTGGGAGCTGCTCCCGAGGAGGAGCTGGCAGCACTGCAGCTGGGCCCCACCCACCACGAGTGTGAGGCGGGTCCCCCCCATGACACCCTGCGCCTCACTGCACTGCCCGACTACACGCTGACCCTGCGACGCTCCCCTGATGACATCCCACTCATGACCCCCAACACTATCACTATGATCCCCAACTCCCTGGTGGGGCTGCAGACGTTGCACCCCTATAACACCTTTGCCACAGGGTTCAACAGTACCGGGCTGCCCCACTCACACTCCACCACCCGGGTATAGCTGCAGCCCAGAGCACAGCATATATCCCGGCTCTGTCCCTCCCGGATCCACGAACACACACACACACACACACACACACACACACACACACACACACATATATGTATACGCACGCACCCACACCCGACAGCAGACCCACCTGCACAAACATAGACAGATGTGGGCACGCACCCGCATGTGCAACAACACAAATAAGGAAGTAAACCTGAACAAACCCTTCAAGTGGGGACGCAAACGAGTCCTTGGGGAACTGAGGACCCGTGGAACAGCAGCTGAAGCCGGTTCCCCGAGCCTGACCACAGACACTACTGGGGAGCCTGAAGCACCAGCTGGACACCCCCTTGGTGCTCGCCTTCCACCTCTCTTGGAACTGCACCACCGACCAACTCCAGACTTGGGAGCTTTAAAGAGCAGAGTAGCTCTTTCTCCCCCAGACTTGGTCTTTTTTCTGGGTCTTGTTTTTGTTGATTTTTAAAAAAAATTTTGGAACAAGTGCTTCTCCAACCGATGGGTGCAAAGAAGCTCCGGAAGGGAGGGCTCCAGGCCCAGGTCTCTCTGGCTCTGGAACTCCCAGTGCTCACACAATCCGACCAAGGAACATGGCCCCCAAGAAAGAAACAGGTTCCAGCAAAACCATGGGGAGAAGGAGCAAGGGACTCTCACTGGATGGGGTTGGAGGGCCTTGGGGGGCAACTTGCCAGCCGCCTCTGTATCTCTGCGGAGGGCTGCAGAGACCGCAGGGTGACCTGCGTCCCCCAGAGGCCAGGAGCGTCCGCCTAGCTAGACCAGGCAGGGGACTGCAAATTTGGTGAAGGAGGTTTTGTGGAGGCCATGTGATTATCGGTGCCCTGGGTACAATCTGGGTTCTGCCTCTGCCCTTGGGGTAATGCTATCAGAAATTCGCCCCATTTTCTTTACAGAGTCTCTTTTGTGTCTGTCATTTCTCTTTCAAAAAGGTGGTGTTTTTTGTTGTTGTTGGCTTTTTTTTTTTTTTTTTAAAGAAAAGTTCTTAAAACACTAACGGAAACCCACGGAGTTTGTCCTTTGTAAAAATTTTAAACACAGTGTCTTGATATAAAAATAAAAAATCCAGTTAGCACTCCCAACCTGCCTCCCTTGCACAGGCCTTGCCCAACAGACCTCCTGGCAGGGCGCCTCCCTCTGCATCCTGTGCCTTTAAGCTGATACAAGTCTGGGCAGCACACTACCGGCCCCCTTCACGAAGGCCTCTCCAATCTTAATCAGGTTGCAGTCCCCACCCCCCTACCCCCCCAACGCTCTGGGTTCCTGCAGCTGAAGCCTTCTCTCAGCACCTCGGGCCTCCTAATGAAACATCAAAAAAAAAAACACTTCCTTCTTCACTGCGCCACTCTGCTGCCGCCGCCACCACCCGCCGCTGCCTCTGCCACTGCCACCATTGCCACCACCCTGCCCTCGTCCTGGACTGGGGGCTGGGAGGAGGTCTGCCCTCTAACGTGCTGAAATTCTTTTTCGTGTCCGAATCCAGTGCAGCATCAGATATGTGGACTCCCTGGCCTTGGGTGACTGACAGAGCAGGGGCCCTCTCCTCCCCAGAGATACTGGTTTCCTGGTCTATGAATTAAAATTGGAGAAGTCACTGGGGCTCTTGGAGCATTCCTCTCCAGGATGGTGATCAGTGGCTCCCTGTCAACCCTGGGGGACAGATTCAATGGGCTCCACAGAGTTAGCATTATGGTATCGTATTATTCTCAGTGACTTGAAGGACTGAACCAGGAGTCTGCTCATCAAGTGTGACAGTTGGGTGGGGTTGCTGACACCTCAGAAACCAGGAATAGAATTCTTCAAAGTGACCCTGACAAAATGAGGGAGATGAACCAACACAACAGTACAAAGACCAAAATCGAGGACTAGTATACTAATATGGTACGTGGGGACAAGAGAGATGGGCAATGATTGACTTGACCCAGGTTAGTTAAAAAAGAAAAAAAGAACTGGGGGGAGGCTGGCAGGGTGGGTCACGAGTTGAATGAGTCTGAGTCCGTAGTGTAGAACTGGTTTTCTCTTCCCTCCCTGCTCCCTCCCACCCTCTTCTTTCTCTTCCTCCCTCCCTCCCTCCCTTCCTTCCTTCTTTCCAAAACTAACTCAAATACTAGCATATCATTGGGGCTTCCCTGGTGGCGCAGTGGTTGAGAGTCCGCCTGCCGATGCAGGGGACACGGGTTCGTGCCCCGGTCCGGGAAGATCCCACATGCCAGCGGAGCGGCTGGGCCCGTGAGCCATGGCCGCTGAGCCTGCGCGTCCGGAGCCTGTGCTCCGCAACGGGAGAGGCCACAACAGTGAGAGGCCCGCGTACTGCAAAATAAATAAATAAATACTAGCATGTCATAACAAAAATTTAGGATGGAATCCCTGGGAAGTAATCAGAATCCGAATTTTTAGAATTAGAAGTAACCTCAGAGTCATGTAGTCCAACCCACTTATTTTATAATTGGGTAAATGGGCTCAGAAAAGCACAATGTCACAGTGTTAGAAACAGATCTAGAATGCAGTCCAGTAACATATGACCTTTCTCATGCTCCTCAACTTTCTCCACTCTACCTAGTATTGGTTAGGCCTTTGAAAACAGTCGTGGGTCTGCCCTTGGTCAACACATTTTCAGCATATGTGGAAAAGCTGCAGAGGGTCTGGAGAAGAGCAAAAACAATGCGCCAAAGGACTAGGGTTTTTTTTTTTTTTTTAATTTAGAAAGGAAGAAGCTGATGAAGTAACATTCAATAATTGTAGAGCACCTACTATATGACAAGTGTGCTATACCATCTTCAGAAATGTAACTCCTAAATAAGGACAGAGCTGGTGATCTGTTCTCCATTTCTTCTGAGACAGATAGAGGGGAAAAGATTGTTAAACACAAGGCAAAACTTTGCTGTAGATAGGAGCTGATCATGGCACGTAGTAAGTCCTCAATAATAGTTGCCAAATTGAGTGAACGACTAAGAGAAGCCATGGTGCTCACCTTCCTGAAGGCGGAGAGGGCTGGGTTACGTGACCATTTTAGATCAATTCAGAGTCTTTGTTGTCATGATCCTTTCATTGCTCCATGTCAGATATTACCAAATTGGGCCTCCTCTTATGGGGGGGGTGTGTGTACCTCCAAATTAGGAGGCTTTCTAGTTGGGAAGATTTAGACATTGCTTCTCCTCTAAGAACTCAAGGTGCCATAGCAAACCCAGCTCCAATCCTATTTGGGACCCATCAGTGAGAGATTACAGTTGGTCTTCACACCTTCAAAAGGTCTGAGTGACCTCCAAGGCAGGCAGGGTTTCAGTCTAATTGACAGTCAGTGCTGTCCTGGGGTGCCTTGAGTGTTCTTGGCCCCCTTGTTGACCGCCAGCCCTGAGCCCAGCTAAGAAAGCCCAGGTTCTTGTTTAAAGGGCTGAGGGTATAGTTAGGTTTGATTTCACACTGCAAAAATCATTAGTGCCTAGACCAGGTCCAGCCTGCATCCCTAGATTTATCTAGTTTCTGTATTAGTCCTTTGAGGAGCTGGACACAGCTATCTTGGGATCTGAACTTGTGGTATGTGTGAAGGGCCAGAGGTTGGTCACTGTGGAAAATCTCTGTAGGAAGTGAAGATGGTTATCAGGACTGTAGGCCAGGCCCTGTGCTGGTTTATATACCATGAGGGATAAAACATACCCCTTTTGGTGTGCATACTGTCAGGAAGACAAAACTGAACTATGATCAAATGAGTGACATGCATAATCTCTGTGACTTCAGTTGTATGATAAAGGTTAAAGGAGTTACAGAAATTGCAAGAAAGGCTATGACGAGATCTGGGTAGATGGGTGGGATAGTGGGCATTCCAAATTGGGAGAAAGTCCTCAGCCAGAGCATGGAGATAAGGTCTAGATGTGCTTGAGGAGCAGTGAGGGAACTGACTTGACCGAAGTAGAGGGTTCAAGTTAAACGGTGGGAAATCAGATTGGAAAGGTAGGTTGTGGAGGTCTTCATAACAGCTGAGGAGTTTGGGTGTTACCAGATGAGTGATGGGGCGCCCTTCTTCATTTGCTAATGGTTTTACAGAGAGGAATCAAAACCTCCTAGGCAACCCTTGTGTTCCTTCTCTTCTGCAAAGAGAAGGACTTTCAGAGTCAAAGGGACAAAGTGAGCCCCAGAGAGAGGCTCCTCAAGGCAGTCTAGTCCCAGAGAGGCTTTAGCTGCTCTGAGCAACTCCATCTCATAGTTTAGGTCAATAACAGCCCAGGGCATTATGATGACCTGCAGCTCAAGTTGCAGGACAACTGGTGATGTCTTTGAAAACCCCATGGAGGGTGAAAGGGATGCACACTGCCGTGGTGTCACTGAGATCGAAGAGTTAAATATTGATTGAAGGCAAGATTCGAGAACAAATGATTAAAAGGAGGATTGGTGAGCACTTACAAAAGGAAGAGAAGATCACTCAGCCCCTGCATGGATTCAGGAAAAGCAAGTCATTCCCCACTCAAGCTCATTTCCTTTGATAGGGTGACTCGATGGGCAGATGAGGAGAATGCTACCCCTACAATGTATTTGGAGTTCAATAAAACGTTCTCTCACTATACTCTTGGGACAATATAAAGAAATGTGGGGATTCTAAGTGATTCTTAACCAGTTGAACGACCACACACAAAAGGGTTCTTTCTGTCTTAACGTCACTAGATCAAATTTGAAAATTACGCATAGCTGGGAGAGAGAGCCAAAATGTGAGATGACAGAAAAAGAATTCGTAGAGCTGTCAAGAGGCTGGAATGATATATACCAGTCATGAGGCTGGACTCACTATAGCAAAATCAAAGTTTACAGGGACAAATATGAAGTCACCTATTTGAATTCCAAAATGTAACAGTACAACCGTAGGAAGTGAGAGACGTTGCTTAGAGGGTTTTAGAATAAATGAAAACTCTTCACGATCCATGAGTCAAAAGCACGGTTTGGTTGTTACAAAAAGTATTGTGACCTTGGGCTGTATTAATAAGAGTATAACGTCCAGAATAAAGGAGGTGATCATCTTGTGCTACTTTGCACTGGTCAGACCACACCTGAGGTCCTCCGTTCAATGGAGGCATCATACTTCAAAGGACATGTCAACAAAAGTACAGCCAGAGAAGGAGTGGTGAGAATAGTGAGGGGACTAGCAAATCCCCAGAGAAATTTGTCTACTGTCAGCAAATCATTACTGGGCTCCTGGTGAAGAGGAAGCTGTAGATTTATTCTGTGTGTGACTCCAAGGGCTCTGAGATCTAATGGGTGGAAGTTACAGGAAAGCAGATTTTGGTTCAACAGAGGAAGAGGCTTTTTTTCTTTCTTTTTTATAATGAAAAAAATGATAATAAAAATTTTGGCTCATGATTCCAGCCTCTTGAAGTCCTTTTAAAATTTATTACCGACAGTTTCAAAAACAGAGAAGAAAAAATTTCCTAATCTCAACAGCCTGATATAAGCATTTCGCTGTGTTTAGGAAGAACTTTCTAATGATTAGTAATAGTCTCTGAAATTAGAATAGACTACCCCAAACGGTAGGCAGCTCACCATCACCAGAGATATTCAAACAGTGACTGGACAATCACTCCACGTGGGTGATTCAAAGGCAAAGAAAGCATCTGATAAAGGACTGTGCCGGATGACCTCTAGAGTTACTGGGATTCTATGATACGTGAGCTGGAAAGTCTCATGATAAAGTATTCAGAAAAATATTACTGGAGTCTCTGTGCAGGGCAGGCTGGAAGCACAGATAGTAACTGGTTGGGAGGTACCTACTTTGAGGGCCACAACGATTTTCACCTCTGGCCCCCACCCCTACCCCTGACTTGAATCCCCAAATTACAGTGTCAGAAGCTGACTTAATGGTTGCCTAATTCCTCACCCTTATGATCTGATGCTTGATCCCCTCTGCAACCTCTTTGCCAATAGTTATCTTGCCTCTCTCTGTTTAAATACCTCCAGTGATGGGAATATCTTGTCCTTTCAAAGCCGACCATTGCATAATATTTGGTCATCTTGAACCATCATAAAGTTCTTCCTTAGGTTGAGTCAAAATATGTTTTCCCAGAGCACATGCCCTTTGTCCCTCTTATCGAGCAAAACA